GTTGCACTTTTTCATTTTTTAGTAGACCGCAACCAGAAACTGCAAAAAATTCATTGAAAATTTTCTGAAAAAAATTTCTAGCCATAAAATGTCTATTTTAGGTTGGTATCGCTACCGTACTCAGCGTAACCGGAATCACCCTAATGTGGCTCTTTCCTGATCCACAATTCAGCAATCGACAGTTTCATGTCTGGTTACATAGAAATCAATTTTTCCATAATTTCACAATCGTTGACCAATTGGAGGCCTACTGCAGGTGAGTGGATCATTGTATCTTACTGTAGCCTTACGGTAGTACAGTATGGTTTAGCGATGTCTCACCGATCGACGATTTGCGCATCTTCTTCACTGTTACGGCAATTTTCGGAGTTGTGCTGATCATGATGCAGACTCGACGATCAGAATTAATCTCTAGATATGACTTTATTTGGAAACTGCAGGTAAAACTTGAGTAAAGTCCTAAGGAGAAAACGAAGGCAAGTTTTGAAATATTCCAGGCCCTTCATGAACAAGTTGAAATGAAAAAGAAGCATGCACAGAACAGAAGCATCCTAGAAAATATTCTGCCTAGCCATGTCGCCAAACATTTCCTGGAAGAGAAAGTAAACACCAAATCTGAAAAACTTTATCATGAGGTAAGTAAGCGTTATTATACCATTTTTGATGATGAATTAGAAAAATTGACATTGTTTAGGCTCGTGATTTTGCATGCATAATTTTCATCACGATAACGGACTTCAGTAAATTTTACATGGAACTCGATGCAAATAATGAAGGAGTAGAATGCTTACGTCTACTGAATGAGATTATCTCTGATTTTGACGACGTGGGTTTAATCCTCAAAATATCTGCAGCTGCTCAATCTTAGGATTGTGCGCTATAATTTGTGTGTCGATGAACTAAACATTCAGTAATTCTTGTTTAGTTACTCGATAGGGACGAATTTAAATGCATAGAAAAAATCAAGACGATCTCAACGACATACATGGCTGCTAGCGGATTATATGGAAAGGTAGTGGTAATCAGTGCTATAGCGAAAACTGGTCCCCGATAGTACATAAATGTAACGTGTTTTCTCTACTGTATCTTACGCTGAAAATCTCAATAGCCCATTCTCCTTTCGCGGAAGAAAGTATAAGTCTAACAATAGGAAACTTCATCTTTTCCTTCACCACTTCGCTGCTCCTCCTCCATTCCGGAAGATGGGTCCGGAGTGGTTTAGTTGAGACACAGAAATGGTGTATTTTTTTACTTGAAAAAAGAAAATCAGACACCAATAATGCTTATAATCCCACGATAAGTAAAATCTTTGAAATTTTTGACGTTCTTTAATCCATAATTTCAGACCGAGGACAACTCACATGTGGTCGCTGTAGCACGTTTTGCTCAAGCCCTATTGGTAAAAATCCAGTCAATAAACGAGCACAGCTTCAACAATTTTGACTTACGCATAGGTAATCCTTTTGAACAGTATCTGAGCTAGGTCAGGCTCAAAATTTATTCAAGGTATCAACACTGGACCGGTGGTTGCTGGTGTCATTGGACTCATGAAACCACACTATGACATTTGGGGCAACTCAGTGAATGTGGCTAGTCGCATGGATTCGTCTGGTATACCTGGGAAAATACAGGTAACAATAATCACCTACTCTTCTTCAGAACTTTTCAACTGGTAAGATGGACTGCACTTCAAATAAATCTGAAAACTCCATATCATTTTATTACAGACCAGTGCGTCACCTCTGCTTCGCAGAGGCT